CCAAAAAAAAGTGGGCTCAACCTGACAAATGGATGGCTCCAAATATGTCACAGACCTGTCAACTGGACTTGCGCTGTCGTCCCTGTCACCGGGAGATCACGCATGAGGACGTCGACACGAGAAATGCCCCCCCCATACCATTAAGACCGTGTTGGAAGTCGGGATAACAAGAAATGCCCACTCTTGGGTCTAGCCTCTTTCTAGGCGAGAAATACCTTGTGAAATTATCATCCCATGGCTCAAGAGCGTAAATCCCTATTGTTGTATATAGGCACATTGTGTTTTTTTTACTGAGAACCACAAAAGAATGGTAGAAAAATTCCTGGTGAAGGAAGGGGGAATCCTGGGGAATCCTAGAGACACAATGCAATAATTTTAATTCCTTGATTCATGTGGGACACCCGACGATGGATTGGTCAATTCTTCTCCATTTGACGTCTGAGGCCAAGACCTATTGTTTTGAAGGCTCTTTTTATTGATCAAATCCAGGTCTGCATTGGATGGAAAGAGCATGTTATTGGGGGGGGGGGGGCATGGAAGTGAATGTCTAGACGTCAATATTCGAGGTAATCCGTAAAATTATCTCTTATCCCGCTATATACACATAATCATCAAGCACCTTGGACAATAAAAAATGTCTTTGGCATTGAAGAATGTCAAAGCTGACGGCTGATCTCCTTAGGCATAGTAACACTAATATGATTCGACGCAAAACCTGGAAGAGAAGGACTTTCTTCAGTAACGACGAGAAGTACCGCACAATTCTACCCATGCTATGTATCAGAGTACATTTGACTTCCGAATTAGAGCTCAAACTCGCTGATCTTGATCTTATAGAGCACATCGCTCTAATCTTTCTTTCACTTTGATCACGTGCGGCCGCTGTTGGCCCTTATAATTCGGCAATCCGATAGTGGCAGACTTTAATATTCTTCCCAATTTCCTTGTTTCTTACACGGCAAGTTACGTTACATAGTTTTGCAAAATATAGCCTCATCATCATTTGTATCAAAGCATGCGCGTTTCTCATTTACTCATTCTTAGTGCCTTCCTAAGCCTTGTGAATACCCTAGGGATCAGCAACCAGTCCCGAGTCTTTCTACGCAGGTCGACTTTTCCTAAACAAGTATTCCCGTAAGTGTCACAATTTCTCATTGACATGCATTTCTGTTGAGATAGGAATGAATGAATTCTTCAGCAGTGTATTTATAATTCTGACATTATTGCTTGCACAGTTATCGCCAGGCATCTATCAAGAAGGCCCGACAGATTGATCTGTCCACACCAAGATCTCCAACTGTTTCTCTCAAGCCGAGTGTTACCTCAACCGCACCAACCGCGCCCCCGCCACGATCCAATTCCAGACAAAATACTCGTTCTAACTCTATTCTCAAGAAGAAGTTTTACGCCTACTTCCACGAGTGCAACATAGGTGTGCGGGTCCATGTTCAAAGAATCAAGAAAATCTGTTCAGGAAAAATCACCAATGAAAGCGCGAAAAAGATCTCTTGGGAGCTGTTGGTGGAGCTTCAGGCCATCCTAGCTCTATGTCTCACCTGCCTCCGCAAAATCAAGTCTTGCGGAAAAGCTCCAATTCCAAGTAGTCTCCCCGGGATCTCTTTAAATTCCCCATCACTTGTGAGTCAAATTTACATGAAGCAAAATCAATCCCCGGATTTTCGAATACTAATCACAGTCTCTCTCGTTTTCACCTAGCGTGACCTGGGGCAAATAGTGTTACAGCTCCTGAACCAGCTGAAGATTTGCTTCAATGAGATGAATATAGTCTGCTCGCGCTACGAAATCATCCGAACCACGTGCAGCGGTAAGTTAAATTCATAGTAGATGGTGAACTCGCATGGAATTTTCTGACTAGCCTGTTTTTTTTTCTTGCTTAGATTGTCTGGTACACATATCATCTTCGATTTCAGGTTGCCTGTATGCTTCTAATGCTCACATTAATGGGTTTCTTGCGACCGTGACAAATCTACTCGGCGGGAATCCACTATCTTTCTTTGGCTTGGACAAATTCGGCCTTGATTCAATCGTCAAGATTTTACAATAGACCTTTGATTCTTTGAGAGAGGTGCAGCTACGAAGAATCCTTCCCCTCGTGCTCTCAAATAAAAGCGACAATGGCATCGGGATTCGACATTCTGAGATGCTACTTGCCAAGGTAAAACTGTAGTGGAGGACCATGGACACTCTTTATTATAAAAATCAGTAGAAGAATAAATCTCGGAATATTTGTATAGACCTTAACCACATTTTGAGAATATATTTTTTATGACTTCGCTCTTCCAACTTCATCCTTATAATGGATGAAGTTACAACTGAAAGTTTGACTCTTTCCGAAAGCGCAGGTTTAAGGTGCTGATTAAGGTTACAATGCTCACTAACCCACCAAATGGACCCTCGCTTTATTTTCACTAAATTGGGAACATCAGGGATCATCCCAAGGTGCTTGGTGCACATACACGTTTTGAATACTATGCTCCAAAGGGATGTCAACCGTTTTAGTTTCCGACAACTGAGCAGTGGACGGATAATTTTCCGATGTGAAAATTATCATGTGTTGTTTTGTATGTTTGTGATGCGAGGATTGGTTTAAGAGGGTATATACGCGCCCTGTTGTTTTTGATTACTATAAGTTGTAGTACAAGAATAAATAATAATTATACAAAATCCCCGGTCTTGATGTATATTTACAACTTCAAAAAACCCAAAATTCAATTGATTGATTGTCCTTGGTTGTTCATGTCCAGTGAGATGGATGAGCAGGAACATTTCATATCTACAGGAAAGCATTGAAAGAGAAGAAGCCTTTGCCGTCTCCTAGGATTCCGGGAATTGCATCGAAACCAAATTGGACGCCGACGAAGAAGTGAGGCATGGTGGCGATAAGTCGTCCTAAGCCAGTGGAGATGTTTCCCACCTCGGCACCTAAGCTGACTGCAATACTTGCCAGGCAGCTCGTGATTTGCGTCAAAGTGTCTGTTTACAAGAGAAAAAGAAACAAGCTCCTCAGTAAATTGGCCTGGCTAAGACTGAATTAAATGGTTGGCTTACCATGACAGATCTGGCGAACGATGACATATTTTGTGCAGAGTGCACCAATGACCAAGCAGCAATCTCTGATTTCGCACATAATCCTGAACAATATCTGGCAGATATCTCCCTGTTAAAAAGCAAGAGGGTTGTCAGTAATGGTCTACAGAATTGGGAAGCCGAGGGTACTAACGAGTGATGGGGTTCTTCCACCCGGGGCCCCGCTTGGAGTTGGAGCGGTTCCACAGCTTTTGATTTTGGCCAGGCAGCCATTCAATATATTGAGGATCTCTTGGAGTTCAGCTACCAAACTCCATCCAAGTCTTTCGGCATCGCCATTGAATTCTCCAGCACAGAGATTTCGAATCAGTTGAACATGGGGTACTATTCCATTAAGACATTCGACGAGGTATGCGTGCACTTTGATTTGTTTGAAAGAGAATTGCCCAAAAGTACGTCGATTGAGTTTTTCAGATCCTCTCCGTGTGTTATCAGAGGTTGTCTGGGGAATTACTGGGGTTGGTGTGAAGTCAGCTAAGTTCTCGTTTTCGGGTAGCTGGGGCAAGTGTCTCTTGTCGAGAACTTGGGCTCTGGTAACCTGTAGAGGCCTGAACGAGAGCTTGGTTAGTGAAATCTGGAAAATTGTCCCACCAAAGCCATCTCCTGCTTACTTGTAGACAGAATCGACCTTGCTTGCCGCCAAATTTCTTTCAGTGCCTATCGGTATCCTGCTATCCACGGTAGCCAGACCTAGGAAGTGTGTGTAATATGGGTCAGTGGATTTGGCCGAAACTGTCAGATTTGGTTATCTGTTGCTTACATAAGGCACTTGCCACAAAAGCAAGGTTGATGAAGTTGAACATCCTGTCGGAGCGATTATGATTTACTATATTTCCGTTGTATTGGTGGTGTAAGGGAAGTGAGTTTTTGAGGTGCTGGGCTTGGTAGGATAGAGTGCTTGAGCGAAGGAATGAATGTAAGGTGACTAAGGGATCAGTCGGTGGTGTGAGGTCGGTGGGATGGGGGTAGACACTCACAGTAACACATCGCCCTTATATATGCTTGCGAGGAATTCGGGTGACTAACTTGGTCCGCTCACTCAAGCGACAACCCAGTCCAGAATGGGTGTTGGCCTTTCTGAGGGCTGGACCTGACTGAGTTGGAGGCTTGGAGTGTCGTGCCGATGGGAATGCAGATGACCGGGCCACAACACCGGTGCGGGCCAAGCACTAGTTGGACCAGCAGTTTGAGCACACCATTTGGCCCTGGTCAATTGTAACCAGGCCACCAAACTGAGACCTCCTACGGTATAACGAATAACTTGTCATCAACTGCTTAGAAAGGTTCAGATCAGCTTCTGACTGGTCTCTGGCAAAAACTGACTAGTGTTGTCAATGATTGACTGGGTCTGTGGGCGCAAGACTGAGGCAAGATTGAGGGGATGAATTACAACTGCAAGCCAATCAGTCGTTGGGAAGAAACGGTCAGGGTAAATGCCGGTTTTAAGGACATGGATTGGTTGGATTTGTCCAACAGAGCTGCTGGCATGAATCACAGAGGGGAATGGGGTGCTGATTCCTGTCGGCTCAAGGTGTTGGAGTGAAGTCTTGGCGATTGAAGGAAGTTACCCATCGCAGCTTCTTCAGTGGTTGCACTTGCGCCCTTACAAACGTTTGTGGACGCGTTCGACGCCCTATCATCTTGGGCGCCAATGTAGGCCTGCTCGGAGGCGACGCATCTTTTTTTCGCCTCCCGAGTCGACCGTGTGAGTGCCACTTGGCCCTCATACTCGGCCATGCTTGCTGGTAAGGTAGAGTGTCCTGGTCGACTGGCGCCCAGGTTGTTCTCCACAGGCGTTATTAGTCTGAGCCTCTGAAATTTGACTCATATAATGGCGTCTAAAAAGTAATGGGTTGTTTGGCGCTCACGATCCAAGAATATGTTGACTTGATGTCCAATCCTCTCTTACTGACAGTGTCTCATGGTTTCTTAAACCTCTAGACAAGTCCGATGTTTGAATGCTGGCAGACCCAATCCCTGGCCGCTACCAGTTCTGATTTTGAACAATTATGCCCTGTTTGTAAAAAAAACCACTTCACTTTCAACAGAAAAATTGTTGCTAACCCATATATTCCATAACACAATCAAGTGAAGCTACCTGTCCCTGGTGATAGTCAAATCCCTCCAAAAAGTCGTTATCACATTAATTGTTGTGCAAATCCTTGAGGTAAGGACAGCATCGTTTTCTCCGGGGCTGGCACTGACAGAGGGAATGGCTTCTATAGGCTACCCTTACAATATACAAAGCTCGAGTTGAAATTATGAAGTCCTCATCACAATATTGATCTCCAAATGGTGTAGCTGCTTCCAACCTCAACCCCATCCCTCACACTCAGTAAGTAAAATGTGACATCCTGAAAGCATTGATTTGATATTTGAGACATGAGTCAGTAGTCTCAATGGGGAACTTTTTTGATTTTTGAATTGGTCTACGCGCATTGGAAACCATCAGTTGTGATATGCAAATATTACTCAAGAAATGTGTTTAATATTATAGAGATGAAATTCATCCAATGACCGGAAGTTAGGTTGGCAAGAGCATGTACAAAGGTTACAAATTGTTCTTATATGGTTCTGGGTATGTATGTTATAATACCAAGGTGAGTACAAATTATATACAATGTCTACAAGCGGAAAAACCCAAAATATTATAAATTGATTGTCCTTGATTGTCCGATTTGTTCCTATTCGTCCGGTAGTGAAGTGGACAAATGGGTGCATTTTATGCCTATAGGAATGCATTGAAAGAGAAGAAACCGTTGCCGTTTCCGAGCACGCCGGGGATCGCATGGAAGCCGAATTGCACACCGATAAAGAAGTGAGGAATGGTGGCGAAAAGGTTTCCTAGACCAGTGTACACATTGCCCACCTCGCCGGCCAGGCTGATGATAATGCTTGAGAGGCAGCCTGTGATTTGAGTCAAAGTGTCTAATTTTATGAAACAAAAGACCGGAACATAGATCAACAAATCTGCCTCGATAAAGATGAATGAAACTTTTTGCAAGACTTACCATGGCAAATTTGGCGGACAATGTTGTATTTGACACAAAGTGCTGCAATAACCACGCAGCAATCTTTGATTTCACACATGATTCTGAACAAAATTTGGCAAATATCTCCCTGTGAAAAAGTGCAAGTCGTCAGTTAGATGCCAGATGTTTCCCAGCAGGTAGATCTATGCGGCACTTACAAGTGAAGGAACCCTTCCACCTGGAACACCACTTGGAGATGGGGCTCTTCCGCAGTCTTTGATTTTGGCCAGACAACCATTCAATATATCGAGGATTATTCGCAGCTCAGCAACCAAATTCCAACCAAGTCTTTCGGGATTCCCATTGAATCTTTGAGCGCAGAGGTTTCGAATCAGTTGCACATGGGGCAATATTCCATTGAGACATTCGACAAGGTATGCGTGCACTCGGATTTGCTTGAAAGAAAAAAGCCCGAAGGTTCGTCGATTAAGTTTTTCAGGTGTTTTCTGGGCGTTGTCAGTGGCTTTCTGCGGGATTACTGGGGTTGGTTTGAAGTCAGTTGAGTTGTCGTTTTCGGGTAGCTGGGTCAAGTGTCTCTTGTCAAGAACTTGGGCTCGGGTAACCTGTAGGGGCCTAGAAGTAAGCACAGAAGGCTCGTTAGTGCAGGCTAGAGGATTGTCCCACCAAATCCATGCTCTACTTACTTGTAGACAGACTCGACCTTGCTTGCCCCCAAATTCCTTTCGATGCCAATCGGTATTCTGCAATCCACGGTAGCCATGGCTAAGGAGGTTGGGTCAAATGGATCAGCGTGTTTGCCATTGGCCGTGGGTTTTGGTTTGAGCTAGGTTGCTTACATAAGGCGCTTGCTACCAAAACAAAGGTGAAGAAGTTGAACATTCTGGTGGAGTGATTACGATTTGGTTGATATCCTAGTGGTGTTGATGGTGTTAGGGAAACGATTTTTTAAGGCGGCTGAGCTTAGTGGTATAGTAAAACACTTGTGGGAAGGAATGAATGTAAGATGATCAAGGAATCTGTCAGTGGTGTGAGATTGGTAAGATGGAGATTGTGGGCAATGTCAGCAAGACATGGCCCTTTATATATGCTTGGAGGCGATTGACTGGCCCCAGTGTGGTGGACCAGATCTCTCTCTGGTCCGCTTACCCAGGTAACCGCCCAGTCTGGTGTAAGAGGCTGCCCTTCTGGATGCTGGACTTGACTGGAGTCCGGGGGCATTCTCGTTGAGAAAATGTATTCGAATGGCTGGGCGGGTCAATGACTGGTTGGACCAGGGCTCGGAGCACCTCACTGGACAACCGCATGCTCGAGTTTTTTGTTTCAATCCATCGGGTTTAATCATCTTACCTAGCTCCGTGCGGAAAAACCAAGCCATCCAACCGAGTCATTCCAGCAGCTGCATATTTATTGCGGCTAACTCGGTGTCAACTCTTTAGAAATGTTTGGATCAACTGGATTGAAGGGAGTAGAGGTGCCTGGTCGTTCCAGGTGGCACTCGCCTATATTACCAGTCATTGACAGGTCACAATGGCTACGTGAAGCATGCCTGAGCGCTGAGGCAAGACTTAGGCGCGAAGGGTCGCTTTCGCATGGTTTGGTCTTACCCGCAACCCGAATAAATATATTCTTGAACTCAAAAAAAATACTTGCAACCTTCTGCGATCATTAACAATTGTTGATGTGGCATGTGGGTTGAAAATTCAACTCATTGTGAGGTTGTGGCACAAATTGTGATAATCCATCAACAAAAACATGACTAAACTACCGGTGGTTTTGTGACGCGGTTGGTTTAAAGGAAGAAATAAATTGCCGGTCAAAAATTCAAAACGGTTCATTGTGACACAGGTATTAACGTAGTATCCAGAGAAAATGATAAATTAAGGTGTGTTGAGAAAAACAAAAATAAAGATGAATACATCCAATGCATGTAAATAGGTGGCATGCGACATAAGTCGCAACGCTCAAGTCATGGTGTGCCGTAACGGAATGCAAAAGCTCCCTATAGGGAAGCGTTGAAAGAAAACGAAGCATTGGCGTTTCCTAGGATGCTGGGGAAGGCGCTGAATCCAAACTGGATACCGGTAAAGAAGTTCGGGACGGTGGCGAAGCGAGATCCCAGGCCGCTGGACATATCTCCAACCTCGACACCACATCTGACGGCAATGTTCGAGAGGCAGCCGCAGATTTGTCTCAAAGTATCTGGGGAGATAATTCACATCGAGCATCAGCTCAGTAGACGCAGCGGATAAGAGAAGAAATGTGTTCACCTTGGCACACTCGGCGGACGGTTTTGTACTTGATGCACAACGAGCCAATCAACTTGCAGCACTCCCTGATTTCACACATGATTTTGAAGAACAGCTGGCAAATGTCATCCTGTAGAGCAAAGTTAGGATTGTCAGTGTTGCAGAGGTTTGGTTCGAGGCAGTGCGTGTCCACTAACCAGAGTCGGAGTCCTTCCGCCAGGAATTCCACTGGGAGTTGGGGCCTTTCCGCAGGTTTTAACTTTGTACAGACATCCGTTGAGGATTTCGAAAATTGCTCGGAGCTCAGTGACTAATTGCCAACTAAGTTCATCAGCGTCAGGGTTTACGGTGCCGGTACAAAGCCTTCGGATGGCGTGGGTGTGGGGCAAAATTGCATTGAGGGTGTCTAAGAGATAAGCGTGCACTTTGATCTGCTTGAAAGAAACTCGGGCTGAAGCGCGGACGTTGATGGGCTCCGGAACGGTTCGGGTGGCAACAGGGAGGACCTCTGAGATGATCGAGGTGGGGAGCTCAAGCAAGTTGCCCAAAAAGCCTCGCTTGTCGAGCTCCGGGCTCGGGTCCCTCTTCTCAAGAAGTGGACTTGTGATGGCAGTCAAGGTTCTACAGCGAGGATAACGGAATTGAGGGTTAAAACACGCTCTGTCAGGTCATGAACAAAATTGTTCTCATCAGCTTACTGGGGTCCTAGCAAGGTTTCTTCGGTGATAACTGATATCTTGCTGTCCGCAGCAGCCATAGCTAATAAAAAAACATCGATAGACGAGTCAGCGGCTACGAGGAGATGGCTGAAGCTTTCTCTGGAATAGCTCACATAAAGCACTTGCAACAAAGACGAAGGAGAAGAAGTTGACCATCTTGAGCGAGTGATTAAGATCTTTTGATAAGGGTGATAATTTCGGGGGGCAAAGAGAAATTAGGAGAGAGTTGGGTGATTGAAGGAGTGTATGTTGATTAACAAACCCAACTGAGATACTGAGATGATGAGAGGGCCGTAAGCGCCTGATGGCAGGATGCTCCCCTTTATACACCCAGTCTCAAAGACATGGCCAATCAGCCTCAACCTGGCCTCGTTTCTTCGGCGCGTTCACCCCGAGAGCGAGAGCAAATGAATCAGATTCGAATCGGTAGATGATTTCCCATCTGGGAATGCGATTGAATGCTCAACTTGGACTGATCGACCAGATCTCGGTGGTAGGAAATTGAGCTGAAGGCTGGGTGGGTGGGGCCCAAGCAGTAGCTAGACCAAAAGAAACGACGAATCGTCCTACAGCTGAGACTTTTTTTGGTACGGATTAATTGATACGCTTTCAGATATTTTCTCCGATAGCCCAAGGTTTAGCGAAAGATCGAAAGCTTTGAGCGGTTGCGAGTCAATTGACTTCTGAATCTGATCTGGCATTCTGCTCGTCTTTGGACCTTTTGCTGCTAGAGTCCCAGAGGCAAACCAGCAAAGCGTAATCTTGCTTGTTTAGCCATGAAGAATACCAACACATTGGAAACACGGGGCCCTAGGATTGCGTTGACTGGGGGGGGAGTGGTAGCAAAAGCTCGTATACTACTGATTATTGCAATCTACCAATTCACCTTATCTTTTCGTAATTCCGATTTCTCGAAACACAATGTGGCGGAATCCGGTGCTGCCATTCCCAATGCAACATCCTAGACTCAACTTGGACTATATACGCTTGGATCGTTCTTGAGCCAAAACAGCGCAGCTTGCCCAAAGCCAGATAATCATTTCAGCGTGCCACTCAGTGAGCGGTCTTCTGGATTTGGAAACTTTCCAGAGAAGGCATAATCCGCAAAACACGGTCTGAGCGGCTTCATCACGCTGGTGAGCCAGATCACTCTCCCTTGGGAAAGGTTTTTTGGAAAACTAAAATCGCGTTTCAATCTTGCGCCGACGTGTGTTGTTTACTTGGGACCGCTGTGGTGAACTTGCCGGGAGTTCTGCTGTCTGTGGCTGTAAAATTCATCAAATTCGGATAGAATACCCCCTTATTATTACAATTGAATTTTATTTAAATATTTATTCTCTTCTTCTCTTAAGAGTGCCTGAAGATTTTAAGACCGCCCCAATTGATGATGACAAAGACTAAGCCAAAGGTGATTTGAAGAGGGATGAAGAATTTGTAATGATGATCATCTAAAATCTTGACCAATATCCATTTCACCCAAGCCGAGGATGATGAGTTAGAAGGACTATCAAGCTGATTTGAAATGTGCAGATGATCGCCAAAGTTCTCAAGGTCGAATAGGATCAATGGAATCCCGATGATCCATAAGAAACTTGAACAAAAGAAGATCAAGAGTCCCCATATCATCATTGAAAAGCCTTGGGTGTGCTGATGTTGTTGTTGATGTTGATTATGATAATTCCTGACGATCGATCTGTTGAGGCTTTGAGTTTCTTCGAGATTCTGATCGATGTCCTTGGCATCCGAGTCGGATAAGGAGCTAGCCAAAGATTTGGTGGCTTTGATCAATTTCTCGATCTCTGCTTGATTGAAGCCTTGGTCTTGATCGATTTCATCTATCAAGGGCGTCAATGCCGGTCCGATCTCCTTCTGGCTCGGATCGATTCCCAACGCGTTTCGGGAACGTTTTGGCATCAAAAGTTGTTGGTTACAGCTTCATTTACAGAGTAGATAGAATCGGTTTATTCGGGAAGGAGAAAAAGATATTCAGGTCATTCAACGTCTAATAATTTCGAAAGATATTAACAATGAGAAGATCTGAACTGAGAAAGAAAGTAGACAAAAGATCGATACCTGAGAAGATCGTTTGGTCTTAGGCTCATCTTCCTGCCTTTTTTCTGTTGAGCTGATGACAGACTGTCGATGGGCGAGGTATTTCCATGATTAGTCCCTGCATGGTGAGTGTCTCTTGACTGGCTTTTCGTGTCCATTGGCTTGGCTTCATTGGTCTGATGATGTGGCTGCTGGCTTTTCAAGCAACACTGATATTACCACACCGCATACATCCACACGGGGGTACCCGATGAGGTCAAACTGGCGATCAACCCAATGAGGGCACCACTGAAAACCAAGCACATCACCACTCAATTGGTAAGAAGAAAACCTTCGATCTCGTTATAGTATGTATCATCTGGACCAAAATACTGAACAAACATCATACTTGTTTTTCCAGGACACGATACTATTTCCACACGAGGAGAATGGCCGACGACCCAGCCGATCAGCAATCCAGTAGCACACTGTCTCTCAGTACCTTTGAAGAACCTACGTTTAGTGTTGCTTCCCTGCTAGCTGGACTCACAGAAGGGCTCATCAAGGAAGACAAACAGAGTGGAAAAGGTCAACCTGGCCCTCCCCATTTTTTCTTCAAGTTTATTCAATGCTCACGCTTGCGGTTATCCTTTGGATGGTCCTTGGTGTAGCCTTCAACCCGGACCCATTCATCGCTACTCTGGAAGGCGCAATCGAACAACTTCTTCCCCTACAAGACCAAGTCGACAAGAAAATCAAAACACTCGAAAAGGATGTGGCTCAGAAGGAACGAAGCTATCGGACGAGGATTGATGATTTCAAAAACGGACTCAACGTCAGTTTAATCTCACCCCCATGATTCTTTCAACAAACTCATTCGAATCGAAGTTGTTTCTTTAGAATGTTACCCAAGAATTCTCCGGTTTGAATTCCAAAATCACCGAGGTTGGGAAGACCGCTATCAGGATAGGTCAGATACCCCCTTCCATCACACCCACACACACACACTACTTTCAAAGAAAAGATAAACAAGTTTTGCGATTCCTATTGACAAAATATTGGGCAGGTGAACAGCTGGAATCTATTGATCGGGTGCGCTCACGGGCCACCGAAGCACACGATATCATTCTTTACTATAACGAGTTTGCGCGGGGGGAGACCACCCGATTAGAAGCACTGCGCAAGGAAGGCAAAGACGGTAGGGCTAAGGTTGCTGTGATTGCTCGACGGCTACTCACCGTTGCTAGAGAAATCGAAGGTGTCGATGGCAGTGAGGTGACTAAAGCGACGATCGAAAAGTACGCAGAACGGTTCGAGAAAGATATGCTCCGACTATTCGAGAAAGCATATCTTAAGGGTGAACCCAAAGCCATGGCAGTTGAGTTCCTCACGAATTAATTCGAACTTATTATAGTGCATATGATCGTTGGAAGTTGAAAATCTTTCTATACCTGTTTTCGTAGCATTGTGCTCAAACACTGCTCGAGTTCAATGGTGGAAGCTCGTGTATTCAAATCTATGTCAATCAACACGACTTCTTTATCTCTCGGGATCGGATTGAGGCCGTCGATTACGTGGCGGAGGCGCCCATGTGGGAGTCATTAGCAGACCCCAACCAAGCCGCACCGAAAACAGAACCCCAACTAGCGGCTTTATACTCAGATATTAGGGACCAGATATCACAAGAAGCTCAGATCATCGAAGTCGTCTTTCCTCATCCGGTCGTCGTCATGCAAGTCTTCCTCCAAAGAGTCTTCGCTCAAGTAATCCAAAGTCATCTCGAAAAGTTGATCAATGCTGCCCAAGGTAGCAGCACATTGGCCTTTTTGAGAGTCCTTGCACTGGCTCGTTTCAGTACGGCTCAACTGGTAAACGATATCAAAGCACATGACTTCTTTCGCTCCAGTTCTTCGATCAGCTCATCTACAACCGAGACTTATACACTGGCCAGACGTGGTAGCGATGATGCTGATGTGGATAACAAAGCTTCTGTTGGTGTCATCCAAGCCATTTCCGGAGGACCGGGTATCTCCGCGCTTTCCAGCATGCTGGATCAGCAACTCGAGGAACTCTTTGGTCAACATCTCGACAACAGTCGATATGTGGAACGCGAATGCAAAAGTTTGACAGAGTTATATGCAAGCTATCTACTACAGTTTGCAAGATGGCACGTGAGTATTTCAAGATTTTCACTTTTATCTACTATAAGACAGAGAGAAACGCGTACAAATGACAAGAGACATCTTCTATGGACTCATTTAGCGTGCAACAAACAAAGCCAAACCGACAAACACGATTTTCGATCGAATGGTCAATCAAATCTCTTCCTCAGCCAATGGAACCCCCGGAACAACCCAAACGAGTGGTCTCAAATCTTTGCTAAAACTCAGTGGAATCTCGGCCGATGATTCAGCTAACCCCTTGAATGAAGAACTTCCAACCACCCCTGAACTCTGCGAAAGTGATGGTCAGTTGGACTTGAATGTTGCCGAGAAATTGCTTACTTGGCACGCAGAGAGTGTCGGACGAATGATTGAACTGTCTTCACCGAGTGAAGTGTTAGTATCCACTCTCTTTGACACTTTCCAGAAGGCAGGAACAATCTGACGAATCTCGGGAATTTTGCTTTTCTCCTCCGAAGACCCAAGAATGTGTTTTCCCTGCTCAAGACACTTGCCGAAAGTTTTTGTAAAGGATACATCGAAACGGCACTCGAAACATCCCTAGCCCAATTCTCGAGTTACGACTTCAAGGCTGAACCGAGTCTGAAGCCGATGACGGTGATCAAAACCGCGGATATGGCGATGCATCTGTGGCAAAGATACGTGACAACAGCGATCGTCCCATTGGCTGCTGTCAGTGTGAACATTCGAAGAGAGATGTCAATCTTCAATAATCATATCCTAGTCCGAATCGAAAACAAGATCAATTCGGTGGCCCAGAAAGCCTTGGAATGTCAGTTTTTTTTTCGCCAATGCTGATGCCCAACTAATACGATTTATGCTGAATTAACCTTTCTTTTCGTGGATCTAGGTGTGCTAAGTTGGCTGAGTATTAGTCTAGCGAAACAGAAAAAATTAGACTTCAAACCGAAGAATGATGAGTTGGATTTTTCGAGGACTCATACGGAGGCTTGTGCGGCCTGCACTGGATTCTTGAATACCACTCGGACCATAGTCAACCAATCATTGAGTGGAAAGAACAGTGAGATCTTCTTGAGTGAGGTTGGGGTGGTGTTTCATAGGTAGGTGGTGTGCTGGTCAGATGGCAACGCTGGGTTTTGAGTATTGATGTTGATTTGAATCCTTATTTTGGGGAACAGTTTCCTGTTGGAACATTTGAAAAAGTTTCCGGTTAGTGCGATGGGTGGTTTGATGTTAACCAAGTGAGTGGATTTAATCAGAAGGTTTCGTTAGTGAGACGATGATGAGGATTGAATTGAGATTGAATCAACGGGGACAGGGATCTGACGATGTACCAAGACACGATTGCCAAGTTCAACATCCCCGGATTGAATGAGCGATACGAGATGATTCGAGAACTGGGGAACATCTTTGTCGTCCAGCCCTCGATCCTGAAGTCTTACCTTGGCGAATCGGCGATGTTGGGGAGGATCGATGGCAAGCTGTTGAGGCCATTCTTCCTCATGCGAGTCGATTATGGTGATCATCCCAAGAAGTTCTGGGATGAGGTCGTCGGCGAGTCTAAGCATCATGAGTTGGGCGCCGCTGGCGCTCAGGTCGACAGAGGTCTTTGGCTTGGGATCACCGGTGCTTGATACGCTTCTTCTTCTTCCCCCTCCTCCTACTCTCTGCGGATCATCACGATGGTGTGTTTTATGTAATCCTTTGTCATTATCTTCTTTTTTATTTCTAATGTGTAATCCAGTCGAGTTGTACCAAGTTATTATTTTCTCAATTAATTGTTTTATGAAAACGGAACATCTTCAACAATCACACCATTCTCCTCTGTGCTGCATCCATCAAAGCATCCACAACGATCGATGATCTTGATGATTGCGCATTTCCAGCCATGTGGGATCCGGCACCCGCCCAACTACAACACACTATCATCTGTGGACGCTTAAACCAATGTCTGAACAGACAAAGAGCTTGGATGGTGGTCCCTCCACGACCTCTACGAGGGCTGTCACATGCACATTCTTCCTTTGCTACATTCATATGTTCTCAGAAGAAAACAAACCTATGCAGGTTATTTATTTCCGCCAGTTTGTGCTTGTAGATTTCTGGCTTTCTATGTTAATTTGTGCTTGCAGTTTTCTATAAGCCTCTTATAATGGTCACCGTTGCGTAATTTGTAAATTATATTGAACTCCTCTCAGGATAGACATGTGGAAGTATTGGGATGAAATTGGGATGGATACAACTATCCTTCTTCCTCTTCTCAAGAAAACAAAAGGCAGCGGATACTTATATGTAAATCAAAGGTTGATCAGTTATGGGAAAGCTCCTGAGTCAATACATCAACAAGTTACTCCTTTGAGCCCACCCCGAAAAGTCCCAAGTGCTGGGTTTATGCATCCTTCTTGGTCGAATTAATCCGAGTATTGTAATGTAGTAGATGCTATCTGCTCGCAACTGGAAGGAAGATGTGGATCTGATCAGATTAAGGTTTAGGGTCCCAGAGGGGGGGTTAAGTGTTTTGAGATTAGTTTTGAATATTCAATATGCTCCACTCCCTCCCATCAGCTGGACTTGCTCAACTTCTTTCTTGTTGTCTTTCTTTATTTTGTATCTTCATCAAACCAACCAACCACTCAATCATTTCCAGTGTCTTGACCATCCTCAATAACTTGGGGGAAGCCCAGCTATCATGAACAACTCATCCTCGAGCAGCAAACTCAACGAACCGGAACCCTCATCATCCTCATCATCATCAGCAACAACAACATCATCAGCAACAACAACATCATCATCATCATCGAATAAGAAGAACTTGAATCCACCAGGATGGGTACATTTTGTCGCTGGCGGGTAGGTCCCCTTCGCTTAACGGGCAATCTAGCTTCTCGATTGTCATTGAAAAACATCTTATATATCGTTTTAAATAGGCTGGGTGGAATGTGTGGCGCCATTGTCACCGCGCCATTTGATCTTGTCAAGACAAGACTTCAGTCTTCTACTTACCATGCTGACCGCTCTCAAATTCCTCGATTTACATTCTCATCATCATCATCATCAGCCATCCCGACAACATCAACAACTACCACCACCGCAGCCCCTAATCGGCTGTTCTACCATTTTATTGATACCGGCAGGATCATTCGGTGAGTTCATCTGGTAGCTTGGAATCTCAGAAAAGCAGCCATCGTTTAATTCATTTGATCATCTTTTCAGGGACATTCATCGGCTCGAAGGTTTTCAAGCACTTTTCCGTGGTCTTGGACCAACTCTAGTCGGTGCAATCCCAGCCCGAGCTATCAACTTTTACGTCTATGGAATGGGGAAGGAATTTTATTGTAGACTCATCACACCCACCTCCGATAATTCTTCGACTCTAGTACACATATGCTCAGCGATCACAGCCGGTATCGCAACCTCAACAGCTACCAATCCCATCTGGGTCGTCAAAACCCGGCTTCAGCTCGACGTACCTTCCTCCAATCCACCCTCCAGATCTACCGTTCGGACTGCTGGAGCACTAGCCATCGACCTTGCTGCACGACCTTCTATCAACTCATCCATCCTGCCTCAACTTCCAAATTCCTCCAACCTTTCCAACCGTCTCCTCAATCCACTCGGCAATTCTCTACAATGTATCTCAAAAATCTATCGTCAAGAGGGTATCCCTGGCTTTTATCGTGGTCTATCAGCTAGCTATTTGGGAGTCACTGAGGGCACTATTCAATGGACCCTTTACGAAAAGTTCAAACGTCTCGGATCACATTTCATAGCCGATCAAGATAACCGCCAGGAAGGCACTTGGTCTACCAAGATGGCTGCTGCTGGTGCTGCTAAATTAATCGCAACTGGAATCACCTATCCACATGAGGTAACCGGTTGCTTATACTGATCTGATCGAGGGAAAGCTTCGATCACGCGGGTTCTATATCAAGTTGATTGTCTATTCTTCTCATCTGCAATAGGTCGTACGGACTAGAATGAGGCAAAAGCCACCTCCACTCCCTGCCAAATCGAAATATGTCGGCCTTGTTTCAACCTTCCGAGTGATCTTAGCCGAGGAAGGCGTCAGTAAAAATCTTCATAACTTTCCTTTAATGATTGAACAAAACGCTTCGAAGGCTTACACTGTACTTGAATTGATTGATTCAGCTTAAGGCATTTTATGGTGGACTATCACCTCATCTTCTTCGGGTTGTACCGAATGCTGCAGTGATGTACACAGTCTATGAAGCCGCCCTTTCGATCAGTCGTTCCTCTTTTTAATACCCCCCTGAACTTGATGACCTCGGCCTCCACTTAATATGGCTCCTAATATCAGATTATATCCCCACAAAAATTACTCAGGGTAGAGGTGTATTCAGTATGCTTTCAAGAGCCACACATCTACCTCTAAACTAATGAAAAAAATACACAAACTAATAACGAGCTTGGGACATATCTTATGTGGGTATGGTTTCCGATAAGAACCTGGCCCCAACACCACCCACCAGCAGTCATCTATCTGCCAAGAAATTGAAAAACGCTCTACAGCATCTCCTCATTGAGCTTGTCTCTCTGATCGCTTGTAGAGATAAATCTCTATGGGCCTCACTACTTATCTTTTGTTGGGATTTCTGAACTCCCTCGGGGATCTTATCCCGTGTCATTTTTTCTCGCTGAACACGGCCCATTAGGATGGACTCCTAACTTGAGATATATATGCCCAAACAAACAGTATCATACCAAAATTCACCTCTATCCAACCAATGATAACAAGTAACAAGATTGGAGACTGAACGGGCTGCAAAGTGGCCCAGGCTTCTTGATTAATCCCTGCTGTCCACCAGCAGACATCTACCACCGATTTACTTACAGTCAATTGCACAGATCTTACAAGGCTCTATATTACTATATTAGTATCTATTCATTGAATTGATGTCCTCGGATTGTGGCTTCCAAGAGAAATGATGGATGTTTTGGGTGGCTATAGTATCGAACTTATCAAAGTCCCTCGCTTCGGAGGGCCTGGTGGCCTTGGAGCCTCCGAAGGAGGGACTTAAGACAAACACCAACAGGCCCGCGTGTCACGGTTGGGCACTTTTGGTGTAACGCACATTGAGCTGGATGTACAGCATTTACATCACCAGCTATTGGCGATTTGAGTAGACAAGCTTTTGGTGCTTGGTGATGCCTCTCACCTCATCCAATTTTCAGAACTTCATCTTGAAAATTGGATGAGGTGGATATTTTTTAAGTTGGTCAAATTGAGAAAATGTTCTCACATGGTAGGCAGTGAGATTGAAACTGGCTTATGTAAGCTCAGCCAATTTGCCATTGGGCAAATTTTCCTTTAAAATTTTTCAACTGTGTAGTTTTCATTTTTTCCCAAAAGTTTCTTGATAGAAGTCAAGACCTCCATGTTGGGCATCTTCACTCCATCTCAGCTTTCAAGAAATCCAAAAGCTGGATTTTCTATGATTTTTGGCGCAAAAAACAGCCAAAAAACTCAACTGTGACACCCAGTCGTGTTCGTTTTGGGCTCAAGCCTCTCCCGCACTTCGTGCGTTCGACGGAGAGGCTGTACAAGCTCGCTATAGTATCAGCTTTCTGTTTGGGCTGTCTTCCTTCACTTTGTTTCTTACCTGCCATATTGTATATCTCTCACGTCCTGTGATGTCCATGTCCATGTATGTAGATACCTTGTGAGGTTTGGCAGATGGACTGGAAAGACTGCGTTCCTCATCTGTCTGTAAGGATCAATCTGCTGGTCCATGCCCAATAGTAATGTCTTTCTCTCCGCTCTCTGTTGTTCTTCTGTTTCCCTGATCTGCCTTGTAATCAATTAACTCATGTTTCTCCACAAACTATCGTTCTTGTTTCCATATGTATGTAGCTCAATGCAACAAGTTGTTTGATTCAACTGGCAGCTTCAAAGTGTACAGTGGGTAGACAGTGAAAAGTGGCTGCTTGTTTTGGATTGCAGAGCTCTGAAACACAAACTTGAAGTCATGAGACTGGGTCAGGTGGTGCATAATAGGTCCCAAAAAATGAATATGAAATAATAAAAGCAAAAAATAAAGTTTGAAAATTTGTGAAAAATAAACAATAAACTTGATTTTTTTTTCAAAAGCTTTGATATTCATTTTGGGGGAGTGAGAGTGCTGAGAGGAAGAAAGAATGGAACATGGGAAGAATGATTATAAATGAAAAAAAAAATTGGAACCAAAAAAGGTTTGGCCAGGTTGGTGGTCCAGATTGGAGCCAAAACAGTAAATTCTAATGCTTTGCTGCAATGTGGGCTGGTGAATGCCCCAATTAACAGCTCTTTGAAGCCATCTGAAAACCAGTTTTTCCAAAATTTTCATTTATAATCATTCTTCTCATTTTCCAATCTTTCTTTCTCTCAGCACACCCACTCCCCCAAAATGAATATCAAAGCTTTTGAAAAAAATCAATTTTATTTTTTTATTTTTCACAAATTTGCTTTTATTGTTTCATATTCATTTTTTGGGACCTATTATGCACCACCTGACCAAGTCTCATGATTTCAAATTTGTGTTTTGGAGCTCTGGAATCCAAAACAGGCAGCCACTTTTCACTGTCTAGGTACTGACACTGTACATACATGCTGTAGAAAATTGAAATTATGTCCATAGATTGTCAGAACTTCACACCTCATGTTTGCTTTGTTTTCTTTTTTGTCATAAAATCCTTTCATATCTCCCACAGACTGTGCCTCCTGCATCAAGTCAATTTTGTAGCTCTTGGATACTGATTAGATAGCTGGAGTAAGCAATCTTAGGTTATCTCCATCAGTAGTTTGGGTTTGTTTCATCTTTTTGTTTCCTCGTGAGGAGACAGTTTAAAGACTCATGGGTCCAAATGCTTGAGCTGTCAGTCAACACAAATATGCACTTTTTTCCAATCACAAACATTTATTGAAAATAATAAACCAAGGTCTTGTTCAATAGTGAAGAAATTACAACAAACTTTTTGATTTCTTTGTCTTCTTTGTTAACATGGTTCAGGCAATGCTGTAAGTGGTACATTACATGTACTTGTATTGTCCTTGTAATTTATCGATTTTATCCAGATGAACTGTATCAGTATTGGATTGGGATCTAGGGAAGTACAAAATGTATCAGATACATTGTACTGCCTAAGAGACCCTATCCAGGCCTGTCTATCTCTGTTTTAATACAGTTCAGGGCTATAAGATTTGTAGTGCAGAAGTTAGCCTACCTAGACAATGTCATGATACAAACGTCAAAGTACTGGCAGTGACACTGCCACCTTGTTGATCCCCACAATTTCAATCCCTCATCCCCAGGTCACATCTCAAATCAATCCCTCATCCCCAGGTCACATCTCAAATCAATCCCTCATCCCCAGGTCACATCTCAAAACATGGCCCATTCAACTCCTTGTTTTACTTGCAATTGTACCCCTTCAGTTCCCCCATCACAACGTTCCACCCGCATAGTTACTCCTCTTTGCATCAATGCCAGATATGCCTGAACAAATAGTGATTGTTGTAAATCATTATCTCAAGATCCAAGAAGTTCCTCTGACTCTGACTCCAGTTTCTCTGGGATTCCCAAGCCATCAAGATCCAATGCCAACCCTCAGCAAAATCAAAAGAAAAAAAAAAACAATCCAACAAACAAACAAACACCAACCAGACTCGATTCTGGCATCAAGAGCTTCAAAGTCAGAAAAAAAAATGTGCACCAAAGGACTCCAAATTTGGCTTAGATGAAATTGAGCTTTACTTTCATGAAACTTTCATTGAGGAGGGGGAAGTAAGTACTAATTGTCTTTGAAATATTTTTTGTCTTGATCTTTGCTTAATGATTCAATGTTTTGCTTCTTTTTCAGACAAAGGAAGGGCCTCCAATGCATTACAAATGAAAATGGTGTGGCATTCCCTGTAAGAAAGGTGATGGATTGTCAGACGGGGTGATGCCAAGATCTATTATCTTCTAGCTACACCCGTCGATGAGGGTGGTTTGGTTAGGTAGTTGAAAGGGGGGAGAGAGAGGGGCCCTGGTGTTGGGTGTGTTTACGATGCCCTCGGGTATGAAGCTGAGTCTGCCGCTGATAGGTAGCGGGGTCTCTAACAGCTTATCGGCAGGGCCTAGCTGAGCTTAGGGGTGGTAGTCTGCGCTAGGATGGAAGTAGTGGGAAGGCTCTGAGGAAGGTACTCACTTAACGATGGTAGTCCTTCTTCGGTGACGGCTACACGGCCCACTCCTCGGTACTCGAGTAGTATTCCAGACGGGATCTTTAGCTGAATTTCCGGTGCGGTAACGACGGCGGATAGGTGTAAGCTTTCAAGGGGTCTGTTTAAGGGAGTAATGGATAGGTGTTAGTTTGGTGGTTTCGCAAAAAAGGGAGTAAGGATGAAAATAACAGGGATTCAGGTTCTTCGTGATGCCTCCTCTTTCTCTCTGACCTGGCCTAGCTTTTATATCCCTCGGGTGCGTCGTTGATGGCGGATGGGAGTCTAATCCTCGTTTCGGGGCCTGAGGCGGTTGAGTCTGTTCAGTCATGAGGTCATGACTGGCGATGCCAATCCTAAGTGTTTCCTAGAAGTGTGACATCTTGTGAAACTGGATGTCACACTTGAAGGACTCGCGCTGGAGATGATGCTTGCGGTATGGCGCAGTACTGTGACTGCTGCGGAGTCTCCTGCGCGTGCTCCTGAGGTCATTTTTTAACAATTAATTCTGGTTTTTTATTTTATATAATTATAACTTTATAAATGCAATTAATATTTTATTTATATATATATAAAACAAGGCTATTAAAGTCATTAAAACTGGTCAGATTGTCCTGCTTTATTAGTGACAAGCTGACATTTCCCCCCCAACAAAATTAGAGCCCCACACAGAAGCACAGGAAAAGAAACAATATAGTAACAAGCAAAAAAACTGTGACAATAAAAATTAGAAGACAAAGAAGAGAGAAAAGAAACACAACTAGTCTTTTCTCTTACTAGCTCTGTAACTCCTGAGGTGGACTGGTCCATCTGGGATGTTGGATTCGGGCAACCATTCATCTTGGTCTGCAGTGGCATTCTTGTACCTGACTAAATACAACCTGGTATCCTTACCATTAATCCTTTCTTTTTTATCTTTAAGGATTCTAGACACTGAGAGCTTAGAGGTAGGTTCAGGTTCTTGGATGGGAAAATCAGAAATTGGATGAGGAGCCTCATCTTTCCTCCCATTGTAATGCTTAATAAGACTTACAGGGAATACTGGGTGTTTCCTGGACAATTT